GGCCACTCCAAAGGAATTTGGTTCCAGGATAGAAAAATGTGGCACATAAACCACTTGTAGACCCAACAAATATATATCTGGGCGGCTGGAATATATCAGTGCTGGCTGACTATTGTTGGACACTGCAAAGACATGCACCGGACACCGAGTACAAACACAAATCATCAGCAAAACCCTTTCAGTCCTCTTGAACTTGTACTACATATGAGAAATTATGCATTATATATAAATTAACATTATGCGATTAAGAAGATTATAGTGATTAAAAGTTAATTTCATATTTCTCAAGAGTCTCACATAATACAGTCATTCTTAAAATATGTTTGTGTTCAGCTTAAAGGGGTCTGTCATAATCACTAAAAGTTTTTCAGGAAGCAAAACTTTTGAAAAGATTTGTTGTCATGTGTAATTATTCTTGTTTACTCTAATTTTATGTGCATGCACCTAGAGCAGAGTACATTTATCCAAAGGAAAATGAAATTCCCAAAAAATTATTAATTTCTTTTGTATGATATGATGTGGATGCAGTTTGTCCACATTTAACTTGATTGAATGGATTAAGTGAAGCACCACCTACAAGCCTTCAAACCAACTGTTTTCTTACATGCACTTAAGTCTTCAACAATTAATATTACCATAGGTGGTCTCATAGCCAAAGAGCAATAGATTGTAAATCTAAATAAAAATGGGCGCACAGCACTTTTTGATCCCAGGGCCAGGGCTCTCCACATCAGTGTACATTTCAGAGATGAAACATTTTAGTTTTTTTTATCTTTATCTACATGTTTTTTAGTGACGAAAACTAAACAAAAACTAACAGAGTAATTCAAAAAAGGGTGAAGAGTGTGGAGGAGGCAGGAGAAGTGAACAATCTAGGACAAAATGGCTTAACTGGAAAGTGAGCTGAATTGGAGAATGTTTCCAAATCAGCTATTTTGTCCTAGATTGTTCACTTCTCCTGCCTTCTCCAAACTCTTCACCCTTTTGTGAATAACCCTGTAAGTAATGGAGAAGTTAATGGAATGAAAACTAAACAAAAATTCTGGGAATTTTCATTGACAACGAAATGAATATGAGTGACTATTGCATTTGGACTTCCGGTTACCTGAGTTTTACCTGTAGTAGGGAGACGTGCACTACTGATCTACCCAGCGGGACACCAGCTAGCAAACACTTACTGCACAAACTGTACAGATGTGTGAAAGTCAGGGAGAAAGAAAAGGGGACCCTGGAAAAGCACCCTCCCATTGTTGAGGGCATGTGGCCTGGAATGGCGTGTGCGGGGGGGGGGGGCGCTCGCTCGTCCCCCTTCCTTTCCTGCCCTGCCAAGCCTGTGCTCAGATTAAGGGTCTGGTTGGGAATTTTAGGGGGGACCCCACATTTATCCACCCATTTGGGGGGGGGGTCCTTCTTAAAATTTGTTAAAATTTTTTAAAAATTAACATATCATTTTTGTTTATTCTGCTTGCTACCTGTGAAGTAGCGAACAGAATAACAAAACCAAATGCTGTTCAGAGGCATTCGGCTATTCACTCACTGCCGTTCGGCCACTATGAGAATAGGGGCGAATGGCAGCGAGTGAACTGCCGGAGGTTTGGCTCAATCGATCCAGATGTTGGATCAGCTGAGTCGAACGTGTTCTTCACTTTGGCTCAGCAGAACATGCTGAGCATGTTCGGCTCAACCGAAGCCATCCAAAGCCAGCCTATGTAACCGCTGATTTTAGCAGATGTACGGCTAAAATCAGCCATACAAGGCCGAAGTGAATAGCCGAATGGCCTTCAGCTTACTTCACTTCGGCTTAGTTATTCACTCTGCTGCTTAAGACTAAATTGAAGTTTGTCATCAAAATTAACACTGCTCCATATGTATTTTGAGAGACTGATATCATTAGGTTCCCGCCTCCTAAACTATCTAGCCCGTCGAAGACTGGAAGGTATTCTGATAACATCTCTTTTCCAGTGTGCACTGCATCTGGAAAGCCCGGGCTGTGACCGGGAACGGCTGGGGATTACATTTCGAGGAATTTATCTTCACAGTGTAAGATTTTTTTTTCTACTGAATTTGGTGCCATGTTTTGGGCCCACCAATAGCACTATGTACTGTTAACCTTTAGACCAGCGTTTCTCAACCTGTGGGTTGCGACCCAAAAGTGGGTCGCAACTCACTCTTGAGGGGGTCGCAACATCCACTTCTGCTGCGCTAGGTGAGAGGCTCCTCAGCCTCCTCCTAGCGCAGCAGTGTCAGTCAGTGGGAGGACAGCAGAGGCTGTGAATATAAAAGTGCCGCTATACACATTCCCTGACCGCTGCAGCGGCCATCTAGTGGCCGGGGAGTGTGTACAGCAGGGCTTTTCTATTCACAGCCGCTGCTGTCCTCCTGCCTCCCATACAATTTGAGCTCTGCAAGAGACGGGCGTCCAAGCAGTGCTGGGGCTGAGAAGGCTGCATGGAGACAGAGCAGGCAAGCAGGTAGCAGGGGCTGGGGAGGGCTTGCATTCTTGTGAGTGTGCTTCTATTTTTAGTCCCAAGTCCAGCGCCTTACTAAGTCTGGAGTCAAGCGGTCCGTTGGGGGTCACCACAACTTGGGAAATGTTACCATTGGGTCCCGGCCCTAGAAAGGTTAAGAACTACTGCTTTAGACTTCAAGTGTGCTTTAAATTTGCCCCTTACCTCTGAGCAATCTCATTTTATAGGGTTTTCTGTCTATTTTTATAATAAGAGGAACTGGAGAAAAATACATTAGAGTATCCTATAAGTTCTCCCCTTTTGGTATAGGTACTCACCTCCAGCACAAAAGAACTTGGAACTGTACACCGCAAATGTGTGTTTTAATAACCAGTAGATTTAGCAATACACATTCCAGCTCATTGCCTCTCTGCCCTTAAAAGCTGTGAAGCAATTCTTTTCCTGACTGTTCTCTGGGCCTGACTGTTTCCTGACTATCTCTCAGATCATAACAATGTGAGACAAAAGCACGCTGTGAGTTTACATGCAAGATCATCTTCTCTGCTGTCCACTATAGGATGCTGCCTGTTTTACTAATGCTAAAGTGTAACCAAACCCAAGAACAAAAATTGTATTTTTGCAGCTTATCAGTCCTCATATGAGGTGGCTGTACAAGTTTTCCTTTTTCAGGCTAAAAACATTTTTAGTGAGTACAGAAAAAACCTGTTGATTTTGCCAGGAGAGCAGCGTCCTCATCACTTCCTGTAATATAAACTGGAAGGGATAACAACATTATCTTCCTTCTGTAAACTGATGTCCCCATTTCCTATTAAATATAGATGAACATAGGTCGATATGTTTGAGGTCCAGCCTGGGTGACAGCCATGACTCCCTGCATAAATACAGTAGAAGATTGAGTGTAGTCACCCAGGGACAGAAAGGGTATTGCAGCCGAGTGAATGACCGACCTAAAGCGAAGTGAGCCGAACGCTGTTCGGCTATTCACTTCAGGGGGGTACGGCTGATTTCAGTGCAGAAGGAGTTCGACTCAGCCGATCCAACATCTGGATCGGCTAAGCTGAACCTCCGGCAGGCTACTCGCTGCTGTTCGGTCTATTCTCATAGCTGTCGAACAGCAGTGAGTGAATAGCCGAATGCCGCTGAGCGGCATTCGGCTCGGCTGTTCTGCTCGGTCCCTCTGTGGAACCGAGCAGAACAGAAACATAGTTAAAAAAGTAGAAAAAAATAAATAGAAAACGATTGTGCGGAGCTAGCAATGACAGCTAGCTCCGCCCAACAGTTTTTCTATTGTCCGGCGGTTCTGCTGCTGTCCAAAAAAAGAAATAAAACTCTCCCGGGCGCTCCGGGAGTCTCCCGCTCCCGGCCTCCAAGGAGAGAAACACTGAGCCGTGTCAGAATAGAAAAAAATAAAAATAAATTTTGGCCATAGGAATGCATTGCTAGATTCCTATTGGCTATTTCAATTTGCAATAGCCAATAGCAAACTAGCTATTGTTCCCGCCCTCTGCAGCTGTCAATCAGTAGTTGTGGACCTGATGGAGAACTGCAGCAGAGGGCGAAGGATCGGCCGAAGCTACGGCTAAATCCTTCGGCTGATTCGTGAATAGACCCCCAGGTCTTATTTTCGGGGTAGGTCTTATTTTTGGGGTAGGTCTTATTTTCGGGGTAGGTCTTATATTACAGAAATCTCGGAAGATAGCGCTAGGTATTACTTTCGGGGTAGGTCTTATTTTCGGGGAAACACAGTATAGACGTTATTGGGGACTATTGGAGACAATCATATACTGGAGATACGTTACATGAGACTGTTAGAGATCACTCCTATTACAGCCCCTTTACAAATCAGTGTTTCCACATTTGTGCGCCCTACAGCCCCCTTAAAATGACTAAAAATAAATAAATAAGAGAAAAGAGACAATTAATTACTAAAAGCAAATCAAGAATATTTTTCTTCACTGACTTTAATAGGCACTTACTGTAGGTAAGGAAAACACAGACTACTGTCTGCAGATCTCCTAAGTCCTAGGCAGCAAGCTTCCAACCTGGTTTTACCCGATGAAGGGGATCTTGGGTGACCCTGAAACGTTGCCACTGTGATGTTATACACATGCGTTAATAAAGGACGTATTCATCATTGATTCTAGAGTGCCGGTGTCCTATATTCCTCTGTTCTGCTATGGCGCCATCTGTTTGTCACCGCTGCACCCACCATTAAGATATAACTGTGTGAACACACACACAGCTTACTAGCACACACAAGGGTGCCTCCATAGGCAAGTTGAAGGAGCCACCCTCAACAGGGATATTAGGGCCAGGGATCAGGGAACCAGCTAATTCAGCAGGAAAATAAAACTTTTATACATAAAGAAGCAGCATCCATTGTGAGTGATTTAATCACCATTTGAAATAGTTTAAGAATGTTTTGATTTTAATATCGCTTTAAGATAAATGTGTCGGAAGATGCCATAAGACAGAGAGGAGTCTTAATTTCCAGACAGACAGAATTCATTTGCAGCCTAAGGATTCTCTTACCTGGAGGGGGTTCTTAGTACTGATAGCAAGGACATGATATTTGAAATAACACAGCTCACAGCTCCAGGATCCCCGCTCACTAATCCATCGTATTAGACAAGGCTGATGTGTGCAGCGTACGGATCCATCACAGCGGCATGGACTCAGCAGTTCCCCCTAGAATGGAAGAAAAAACATGTTAAGATTGTGTTACCCAGATGGATAGAAATGTTAAGCCATGTGCTGTGTTCTATCTGTCCTTCCATACATGGAAATGTGTTCTGCTACTCAGAATGGGCAATGAAAGGGAAGCACAAATTAGAAGTGGCAACATGCTGGCTTCAAATAACCCCCCTTCTCCCATTCATCTCTAGCCATTCCTTACAACTCTTTGGTAACATGATTTCAGTAACATCAAACGTCTCTACTAACACTGGGGTCACCAGCAGTCCTGTTCTGGATTTTTAATATAGTGTATTCTATTATAGTAAAGGATGTGAACAGTAAGAATACAGAAAAACTGTCTTGAGGGGAAATAAAAAATAGCACCACACTGCTGTATCTCTGGTGACCTAGGGGTTAGATAACAATTCTACTGTCTAAATGAAAAAATACCCTCAAAAATAAAAAGATAGAAAAATGTTTAAATGTTGTCACGCGAGTGATGCCAAATAATGGAAGTGAACGATAACCTCACGTTGGTTGCCCACCTGTACTTTCCTTCAGCAATGACAACCAGATAACAAGATGCTAACAAGGTGCTACAGTAATTGATTTGCTACAGCTCAATGGCAAACACAGATGATACAAAAATATGTCAAAGGCACAGACTGATGCCTCTCGCTTGTATTTTGGTTGCTATAATACAAGGATATCTGTGATGTCCTCTAGTAACTTGTACTGCTTGAGTGGTAACATAACAGGTGGAGCATATCAGGTATGGATTTACAAATACATAGAGCAATTATTCATATATACAGTGTTCAAACTTCAACCAATCACCTAAGCCGAAATGTATTTAGGAACTGCTTTACTTCGTGCCTACCTTTCCGCAGTTACTGGGATCAATAAGCTTAATGTGCAAAAAATATGTGTTTAATCCTCTCACTGCCAGGCCCTGCCTCCTATTTTTTACCTCGGATAGCCAGACCATTTTTGCTATTTTTTACTTTTTTTTTAATTTCCCCCTGTTTTTTTATTTACACTGTTTTATTTTTTATTTAAGGTAAGTAAGAGACCTTCCAATATATTTCTGAACGCACAGGGTCTGTAGAATTAAAAGATGGTGTTACTCATTTTGTACATCCCCTGATAGTGGCGCAAACGCTAAAATCATTATTAGCACACACAAACACAATATAACTTCTACATTTCTTACTAAATCTGAAAGATAAACTGTATTAATGTTAATAAATAACAAATATTCGTAAACTTTGAATTGTGCGTTTTTGGAAAAAGGTGATATACAAGAGAAAGTAAAAATGTAAATAAAGGACTTTATTATGTATATACAGTATGCAGTGACCCTTAGGCCCCGTTCACACCTTTACGTTTTGTCGCGCGTTCAACGCTCTATGAACGCTTAACAAAACGTACAAACATGAAAATCCCATTGTTTTCTATGAAAACTTTGCGGTTGGATTCACACCTATGCATTGTGGTAATTCACAAATCTGCAGTGCAGAATGGCAGCCCAATGCACTAACGCAATGTAACTACATTGTATTGTGCTACAACGCACGGTAGGGGGCGGTCTTTTTCAGTGACTGGTGGGCAGATATGAAAATCGTCTGCAAGAAGTTGTTTCTGCTAAAAAGAGCAGCTATTGAGCCTTCGGATTTACTTATTTTTTTCACACTAGACCTTTGCATATGTAGATATTTTTGATGAATAACTGATTGAAATTTTTTTTTCTTGTGTTTTTATTAAAGTATACAACCGTTATTTGTAAGCACTGTTTAAATGTAGATTTCATGTTTGCCTGTTCAAATATGTTGTCAACATGGCAACATATTTGAACACTTCAATTTCTGTGAGGATGCCTGACACAGACTTCTACTCTTATGCTGTTCCCTGCATTCTGACTTATCAGTTTATTGATGGCCATTAGCTAGCCATTGACAAAAAAGATTTGATTCTATACACAGTATTGGGTACTACAGCTGATTATATGGTACTTTTAAAATCCTAATCACGTGACATCACTGCCTTGTGACCAGGGGCATAACTAGAAATCACGGGGCCCCATAGTAAAATTTTGTATGCCCTCCCAAATCGCCCCCCCCCCTCCTGTCCGCACAGCCCACCTGACACCATGCAGAGCCCACCAGAGGCCCTGCAGACCCCCCTTGACACCTTGAAGAGCCCACCTAAGACCCTGCGCAGCCCACCTGAGACCCCCACACAGCCCTCCTGAGACCCCGCACAGCCCACCAGAGACCGCACACAGCCCACCAGAGATCCCCCCACAGCCCTCCTGAGACCCAACACAGCCCACTTGAGATCCTGCAGAGCCAACTTGAGACCCTGCACATAAAAGAGACCCATAGACCACGCACAGCCCACCTGACACCCTGCAAAGCCCACCGGAGACCCCTCACATACCACAGACCCTGCACATACCATAGACCCTGCACGGCCCACCTGACACCCTGCAGAGCCCACTTGAGACTCCTCACAGCCCACCTGACACCTTGCAGAGCACACCTAAGACCCTACATAGCCCACCTCAGATCCCACACAGCCCACCTGAGAGTGACCCTGCAGACTCTCTATGGTGGGCTCTGCAGGGTGTTAGGTGGGCTGGTCACACCCCTGCACACCTCTTACCTGTTAGTCCAGAGCCAGTGTCAGCCTTCTCCACCGCCAGCGGTGTCCTCCTCTTCCACGGTTGCCACTGGGCCCGGACCCCCGACTCCTTCTCCACTGCCACCAAAGTTCTCAATGGGTCAGAGCCTTCGACAAACACTGGGCCCGGCCTCCTCCTCCACTAGGCCCCTACTCCTCCATCGCCGGGCTCTGCCTCCTCCTCCACCACCGCTGCTGGCTGTCACTGACTCAGCAGCGGCTGTAAGGATGAATGTGCCGCTGCAAAGATCACTGTCCGCTTGTCAGTGATCTGGACAGCAGCTCATTCCTCCTCACAGCCGTTAGTGACAGCCTTAGCCTGCGATGCCATAGTGACCCAGGCGGCCTGCGTGGCATCAGGGGGTCCCTTTGTTCCTGGCCGGGCCCTCCTGTGCGGCGGGCCCAATAGCGTCTGCCTTGGGTCGCTATGCCACTGCTTGTGACTAAGCAATATGTGCTCTCTATTTGGTATATATTACAATTGGTATGCAGTGCAAAGTCCTATCTAATTTTGTAGCATTTTCTCTGGAAATGCATCAAATAATGCTGATTGGTGCTGCTAACAGGATTGGCCCTAAAAGTCTTTATAATTGGTTATGTTGAATCTGGGCAGTTTATTTATGCCTAATCTTTTGTGTGGCCCCTTCTACACTGATGTGTGCTCATCAAGTATGCACTGGTCCATGGAAAAACAGACATATGACATGATGATAATGGACTATAGCTGCATTTCATTAAATTTTAATTCTTGTTTTTCTATTTAGTTAATACACCCAGTCGTATACCATTAATGAGAAGCTGCATTTGGACATTTTTTGCCATTGATTATGTGAACCTTAAAGTACACCTGCCAGTAACGACTAACCAAACTGACTACTGCAATAAATAAACTCATACTTTTTGTTGTCCTGCTCATACTTTTTGTTGTCCTGTTGAGTGTCCCATCAACAATGAATCCCAGGATGTAATATGCAAATATTGACACTTCCTAGCAGTATCAAGATCTGGCCTCCCCTCCCCTCTCTCACCTCTTCTATTATCATATTTGCTCATCACCAAAACAGGTGCCTCTCCTGGCTAATAAGTAGTTGCAGAAGAGATGGGTCCGATCTTGACACCGCTGGCAAATGTCAAAATGTTTATAATAGAGTAAACTATATTGGTTCTGCTCTGGAAAGAACATCTAAAGGTCAAAGTGCCTGCATCTTCAAGAACTCTGGACAGTTAAAAACTTAACCCTTGCAGTGAGCCTACCCCTGCACTTCAAGGGTTAAGTGCTCCTTTTAGTCTAGGATGTAAAATTAAAAAAGATACTCACCCGAATATCCGTCCCGCCTGACTGCTAGACTAGTCCATGCAGCGTCTTCTCCCCTGGTTTCTGTCAGTCTAAGTCCCGCAGATGTCATCACGTGTAATACAAGTCCATTAACTTGTATTATATTATACATAAGGATGTCAAGGGACATGCCACAGCCAGAGAGGAGGGAGAGAAAGCTGAGCTGTCATTGCCGCATGATCGAGATTTGGGCGAGTATAACCCTTGAGGTGCGGGAGTAGCCCCATTGTAAGGGTTATGTTTTTAACTGCTCGGAGTTCTTCAAATGATGATGTTTACTAATCTATTACTGAGAGGTACACTTTAATAAGGAACCCATGTTTTAACATATTTAAAAGAAGTTCTATAGTCAAAGCATATGCTATCCTGTTATAAGTCAGCATTGTAATAGGAATACATATTAGAGCGAGTGCCTTCTGTCTGCCCATCACTTTCATCAACTTCCTGGATTCTCAGTGTGCTTTACATCTCTTTCCCTGCTGCTTTGTGTTGAAATCTCAAATTCTCAAAACTACATATCCAATCATGCATTGCTTTCTGCAAACAATGATGATGTCACATTGTGGAACATTCAGATGTTGAGTTGTAGTTCCAACGGCATACTTAGTTAGAATGGTGAACCATGAAAGTGCATATTTACAGGACTAAGTGGAATGTTGTCACTGCATTTAGGAAGCACATCCTATGGACATCTTCAATAAGTTTACCAGGGATCCCAATCTGGAAAATCTCATTTCAGGGATGTTCCCTTCTCATTTCAGAGATGTGGGAGAGAGGGCACCTCCCTGAAATGATGGCAGATAGTAGGGGAGCTAATGCTTCCCTTGCTATCTGCTCTTTCTTTTGTATTCTGACAGCTCCTGCCATCAGAATAAAAAAAAACAGACTGCATGGGAATGAATAGCTAGGCTGTTATTGGATATTTCAATTTGCAATAGCCAATAGCAGGCTGGCGAAGGAGAACTTCAGGTCCACCTCTGCTGATTGATGGAAG